TTAAAAAAAAAAAAAAAAAAAAAAACAAAAAACAAAAAAAGCCAAGAAAATCATATATCTTTTGGTGTTTTTTTGGCTTTGTTTTACATGGAAATTGCCAATTAAAGGAAAATATTTTTTTTACAATTAGGAATAGAATTTGTTTCCATTACCAACAAACAAATAAAAAAAAAAGTCAATAGTGCTTGGGAATTGATTTTCCCACAAAACCAAGAAATAGTCTACGCGGCTGGAAAAAGCAAGAAAATCTATTCTCTAGAAAATAATGCTATCAAACATGCAATTTGAGGAACTTGGAATATTTGGTTCCATGGAAAACTTTGGCCAATCAAACATGGCCTTAGTACACATTGCTGATCTATGGGAAAAAAAGAACAAAAAACAAAAATATACAGCAGCAAAATGCAGAAGTTACCTATTCCATACAGGGCGTATCCTAAGGTATCTACACCATTTGATGTAATTATCTAGGACCTTCAAGAAGACCTGTTTTATAGCCTTCTCATCTAATTTCTGCAAAACAAATAAATTAAAAATGATTTGCTATAATATAGAATTGCAGTGATATAACGACGACTTTATGCAAACCCATTAAACTCCAATAAGAATCAAAACTAATTGTGCCACTCACTGGATCGGTGTCAACTGGTATGCCAAGTTGTGATTGTGCATTGCCTAACATGAGAACAACATTCTCACGCTGGTTCCTTATGTTGTCTTTCTGGAATGACGAATATCAATAATATCAACCAAAATAAGAACACAAAATAAACAAACATGAAAACAGCGAAAAAACACCAAGAGATATGCTGGTCAATATTGCACGTAATATATAAGCTGAAAAAAAAGTTCCAACTTTAAACACAACTGTGCATATGCCTAAAACATTGTATTTTTCTATTTGCTATGAGTTAGCATTGACTTAAACATCTTCATACTATAGACGAAATGTGAAACTGATAGAATAAGGAGTAACACTAGAGCAACAATAGAATGAAACCCATAAAATTAGAAGTGCATGATGAAAAAGATGTGTTGCTTTAAATAAGACTACCCATTGCACTCTTCTACTTCATTCCATTGAAGATCTAAATATAAACTAAATAAATTTCCAACAAGTAACATCTTACACCCGACCATGGGGGAGAGGCGGCGTGGTGCACGCGCCGCAGCCGGGGAAGGTCCAGAACATGCAGACTTCGCCCAGGACTCTTAACTATTCCGTTTCTTCGTATGATGCTTCGATTGCACAGAATCTAGGGAGACAGAGTGTTCCTTATGGCATGTTAGTGTTTAGCTCCAGTTCCAAAATTGAGGCAAAACAGCTTGTGGTGTCTGTCAATCAAACATGGTTAAGATGTGAGAATGGGTATCTAAGATCTCCAATGCTATTCACATGGGAAGATTTGGAGCTGTTTGGATGGTGAATAAGCTAAGGATTGCTAGAATGTCAGAGGATTTTGTCACGAAATCTAATGAGACCCCCCGAGCGTTTTTGGCACGATGATGTACTAATAGTCGTGATAGGTATCTCATAATAGCGCAGTATGGGGAGCGACGTCGAAAGAGCGTAGTGATGGTGCCTGAAGGGCGTAATGGAGAGGGATGGGCAACAATCTCGCGCGTTTCAAGCAGTTATAGAATCATTTGTTGCCGAAGATAAGGCCAAGCATCGAGTAGTGGAAGAGCGGAGCTGGCAAAGGATGACTTCTGCCGCAGTTACGACAAGCATTCAGGCCCCCAGAATGCTAATCAACGGATACGGATGCAAAAGGATAAAGCGGTAAATGAGAGGAGTGATCCACGCGGGCGAAACTGGGAACCAAACAAGGAAGGCCAATCAACGGCGCATAAGGACAACGAAAAGATTACAGAAGGAACGTCTGATATTTCTGCAAACTATGCTGATATAAGGGCCCACGTAAAGGCACTGAAAGGGGAATTGGATGAACTACTGAGGTTAGTGGATAGCGGGAATACAGTGGGTTATAGGTAGACATATTGTCATACGTGTGGAGTGGGCTTAAATGATTATACAGCTAATGGAAACGTAGTAGCAAATGAGGTATCTAAGGAGTTGAAATCGAAGAGGGCCCACATTAAAGAGGTGATGGTTAAGCCAAGTGGCGAATCCCAAGTAAAAAGTAGAGGGGAAGAAGTGGAACTATGGGACAAGGAAGGGGAGCCGAGTTTAATGAATTTGGTGTCGAAGAGACCGGATGTGACCAAAGGCAATTGTTCCACAATTGTGGAGACGTTGGACATGAGGCCAGCAGAAGCGTTAGGGTCGGCTATGGAGCAAGAGACACACAATGCAACAGCAAAAAGTCCAGTTTCGGCTTTTGAGAAACAACAAGGAGCAACAGGTTTGGCAACAATAGTTACGAATACCTACTATAGGAGATATTCTAAGTCTATAAATGAGGGGGACTCAGGGACTGATAAAGCTCTGGTATGTGGGTGGAGGGCACCAAAGAGGAGGATATAAATAGGGATGTAGTTCGGGTGGAGGAAGAAGACTTATAATATGATCAGTTTTCCTCTGAGGAGATAGTGGAAATGCGTGAACTTGACATTAGACCGCCACCATCGAGCTGGGCTCTTCAAAAAAAATTTGGAATTCAGCAAGATGGTGGGGGTGTCCTGCGACGAGTATACACATAAGCTCTTGCAATTATTTGAGGAGTTGGAGACGAGTAAGGGACAAGGGATGGATACATCAGGAGGTAAGACAAGAAGAAAGGTTGACCGTGAGCTAAAACGGCTTGAATGCTTGATTAATTATGACATGAGGGGTGGTGAGTCAAGAAGAGGATTGATGGGGAGGGATGACGGTGCTTCAAGGTGATCCCAAAAATAGTTAGCTGGAATGTGAGGGGGTTTAATGAAGCTGGAAAAAGGTGAGGTGTTCGAAATCTCTTAAGGGGTTAGAAGACTCACATTGTTTGCTTACAGAAGACAAAGTTGGAGATCATTTCGAGGGTTGTTGTAAGTAGCTTATAGGGGGGACGGCATGTCGGGTATCAATTTGTGGGGTCATTGGGGGCTTCAGGAGGGCTGCTAGTTATGTGGGACACTAGAGTCTTTTAGTTGGAGAAGGTTAGTGAGGGGCTATTTTCTCTATCCCTTTCATTTACAAATATTGGGGATAGATTTCGTTGGGCGTTTATAGGAGTTTATGGATCGAATATTGATGAAAGTAGAGGCGAGTTGGGGGATGAATTGTCAGGTATGATGGCTTGGTGAAACCTCCCAACGTGCATAGGGGTTGACTTCAATGTGGTCCGCTTTCCTACTGAAAGGTCTAGCAACGGGAGACTAACAGGGGTTATGAAGGACTTCTCAGATTTTAGCAGAGAGAATATGTTGGTGGATATACCTTTGATAGGGGGAGATTTTACTTGGTCATCTAATCGAGAGCAACCTGTTCATTCTAGAATTGATCGGTTCTTGATTAGTGTGGAGTGGGAGGCTAAGTACCCGAACGTCGCTCAGAGGAGACTGGGGAAGGTGTATTCAGATCATTTCCCTATTTCATTATCCAGGGATGTGGGGTATGGCGGGAGAAGGCCTTTTAGATTTGAAAAGATGTGGCTTAAAGTGGACGGTTTTGGGGAGCGAGTACGGACTTGGTGGGCCTCTTACAAGTTCGGGGGTACCCCAGTTATGTGTTGAATCAGAAATTAAAGGCTTTAAAAGGGACCTCAAGAGGTGGAATGAGGAGGTGGTAGGGGATGTTAGCTGGCGAAAAAATCCACGCATCTCAGAAATAGAAGAGTTGAATAGGAAGGAGGAAAGTCGAGGATTTGGAGGGGAAGAGAGGGAGCGACATCAAGAATTAAGGGGAGAGTTGGAACGGTTGGTGAAGATGGAGGAGATTTCTTAGCGCCAAAAATCTAAGGTCAAGAGGTTGAGAGAGGAAGATAATTGTACATAGTTTTTCCTTAGGGTGGCCAATTCCAACAGGCGCAACAATCGTATCTCTATGCAGGAGGTGGATGGGGTAACTTACGAAGACCCACAGGATATTGGTAAACAAATGGTGAATTTCTATCAAAATCTTTATAAGGAGCAATTTGATTGAGGTCAGAGCTTGAGGGGCTAGAGTTTTCCACTATTTCTGAGGAGGATGTCAATTGGTTAGAAAGACCATTTGGGGAGGACGAGATTAGGAAAGTGGTATTTAGTATGAATGATGACAAGGCCCCAGGACCGGATGGATTTTCCTTCACATTCTATCAGGCTTGTTGGGATGTGATACGATCAGGCAATGTGGATGTTTTTGCTTACTTTTTCCAATGTGGCAGATTCTTGAAAAGCTCTAATACCACATTTATTGTGCTGATCCCAAAAAAAAGGAGCGACAGACATTAAGAACTTTTGACTTATCAGTCTAGTAAGTGGGGTGTATAAGATTATTGCAAAAGTTTTGGCTAACAGATTAAAGGAGATGCTGGAAAAAGTAGTGTCTAAATTTCAGAATGCTTTTGTCAAAGGGCAACAGATTTTGGATTCCGTACTCATAGCAAATGAATGCATTGATTCATGACTACGTCAAGAGGCTCCAGGGATGCTATGTAAGCTTGATATTCAAAAGCCCTATGATCACGTGAACAGGGGTTTCCTATTGTAAATGCTCAGACGATGTGGTTTCTAGGCAAAGTGATGCCAGTGGATTCAATTTTGTATTTCTATTGTCTCTTTTTCAGTTTTGGTAAACAGCACTCCTAAAGGTCATTTCCGGAGTAGTATAGGGTTGCGACAAGGGAATCCTTTGTCTTCATTACTGTTTGTTATTGTAATGGAGGTATTCAGTAAAATAGTTGAGAAGGCTGTGGGGGAGAGTTTGTTAAAGGACTTTAGGATTGGTCAATAACAGATATCTCATTTGCTATTTGCAGATGATATTCTGATCTTTTGTGATGCAGACATTGAGCACTTCAGGAACTTACGTCGTTTGCTTCTGTGCTTTGAAGTCATATCCGGAATGAAAATCTTAGGCTATCACTGTTGGAGAGGTCGATAACGTGGAAGGGTTGGCTGCTACATTGGGCTGTAAGGTTGCACAGTTGCCTATGACATTTCTTGGGCTCCCACTAGGAGCAAGGTTCAAAAGTAAACATATAAGGGACAGTATAGTGGAAAGGGTGGAGAGGAGGTTAGCGAGTTGGAAGCGTATGTACCTTTCAAATGGAGGTCACCTTACTCTTATCAAGTCTACTCTTTCGAATCTCCCCACTTATTTCTTGTCTTTTGTTTCTCATCCCTGTTACAGTGGCTAAGAGACTAGAGAGGATCCAAAGGGAATTCCTGTGGGGAGGATTAGGAGAGGAGAGGAAATTTCATTTGGTCAATTGGGGTGCAGTTTGTCCTCCCACAAGGGTTGGGGGACTCGGATTGAGGAGTCTTGTACTGTTTAATAAGGCCTTCTTGGGTAAGCGGTTATGGCGATTTGAGGTGGAGAGGAAGAGTTTCTGGAGAGAAATTATAGAAGAGAAATATGGTATTTTGGAGGGTGGATGGTGTTCAATTGAGGGTCGTGGTACCTACGGGGTGAGTTTGTGGCGGTATATTCGGCGAGGTTGGAGTGACTTTCGGAATAGAGTGACTTTGGTGTGGGGAATGACAATACTATCAGCTTTTGGGATGATTGTTGGTGTACAGGTCAACCGTTAAGGGAGAGATTTCCTTCTTTGTATCGTTTTGCCGTGATATCATCTGCTATGGTGAATGATGTATTAGATACACATAACGGGAGCATTAGCTGAAACATTGTTTTTGGGAGGGGATTACAAGATTGGGAAGTGGATGATTATGCGCTGCTATTGACCTCTTCGTATGAAGTGCATATCAGGGTAGGAGATAGTAACATCAGATGGACGCTGGCAAGGGATGGCATTTTCTTAATTAGGACTTATTTTAGATCCTTTTAGGATCTGCGAAGAATTCATTCACTTGGAACATAGTTTGGAAGTGTAAACTGCCTCCAAAGGTGGCGTTTTTATTATGGACGGTAGTGAGAGGACGGGTGTTAGCGGCGGATAATCTTCGATTGAGGGGGTTTTATATTACAGATTGATGTCATATGTGCAAAAAGGATGGGAAAACGATTGACCATTTGTTTCTCCATTGTGATGGTGCTCGTTTGCTATGGAATGATATTCTGGCTTCTCAACATATTGGGTGATGCCAATGCGTTTGGAAGATATGTTGAAGGCATGAAGGAGAAAGTTTCATGACAAGGACGGTAAACTTGTTTGGGACCTTATTCTAGGCTGCACTGTTTGGTGTGTATGGAGAGAAAGAAAACGGGCGCTGTTTTGATGATCAAATAAAGACTTTAGAGCAACTTAGAGAATTATTTTATTTGACATTGTATAATTGGCTTAATGCTACAGCTTCTAGTCACATAGATGGGCTGCCTAATTTCATGACGTTTATTTCTTGTATAAGTGTATAATACACTTTCTGTGTATTACCTTTTGATTACTTATCAAAAAAAAAAATGTTAAACTTTTAGATGAGGTATAAATAATTGAGACTGCAAGTCCTTTCACAACTATAGATCCTAAATTCTTAATAAATATTTTTAAAAAGAGAGAAGGAATATCGGAGGCTATATAATATCATTAAAACAAGTGCATGTCAACTGTAAACAGGAGCATAATTACACTGCCAATATATATAGTTCGCCAATCAAGCAGTTAAATACGGCTTTATGTTTTTCTCCTAACAAAATAAATCTAGAGCCTCCCCAACAGAAACTAAAAAGAAACATCAAAGAGAAATAGCATGCCAAAATTATTTAAAACTCATAAATGCTTTCTCACTCTCTTTATCCTTGATTCAAGCTAATCAGGTTGTACGGTGCTACACAATCCATGTGCTATCCATTGCTTGCTTCTTCTTTTCGAAATGCATAAAATAACGTGCACTCATCACATCCACCAACAAGAGAAATTAAAGTAATACTTACTATATTCATAATAAGTTTCATGATGAATTACTTATTATTCGTTTTTACCATAAATATTAATTCATTAGCAACTCCACATGTTACATTTTTCTCTCGATCTAACACGAGCCGTCCTAACGGTAGATAAATGTGGAGTATTGTGCTGGGTGGTCTGACATCCAGAGTCAACAATGGGCTTCCGTTATCCGTTAAGACTACTGAAGCCGTACGAGGGCAAAAAAGGACTTCTGATCTAGGATAAACTATCGGTTTCTTTTAAAGCAATATGAGGGCAAAGGACTTCCATGTGGATCCAGTTATCAAAGGGTGAATGATATTGTTTCTTGAGATGTACTGGTGTGTTCTAGAATGAAACGTCAAAATTCAATACACTGATGTAATCAATCATATAAAAAGGGTTTGCGACAAAGAAAGTATCCAAAAAGGATTCTATGTTGAGCCATGAGGACCAAGATTTTTCCTAATATCAGAACCAAAATGTGTCAATAGTTCATCATTGAAGCCATGACAATAACAATTAATATATTTGGGAGCTGATGCAGCTAAAGCCTAAAAGCCCCCTTCATAGTCAATTTGTTAGCATGGGCACCTTCCACCCAGAAAGGCATCCACTACTTTCTTTCTCTCAAGCCTCAGAGCTATTGGACTTCGTCAAAAAGACTGCAATTACAGTTTAACAGCCACTCACAAGATCACCAATATTTTTATCTTGGCTGCCAAAGGTAACACGCCCAGGCCTTTCCCAGCCTACAAAAGGTGAACAGAAGATGACGAAGGGAGACCTTGTCCTAACTATATTATGAAACAAATTACCATTTCATCTATCATATCACTCGAGGATTCATTACTACTATAAATAAGGCAAGAGGTAAATTGTGACAAAGACATGGGGTCAGCTTTCCCTTTTGTGTCTATCAATAGCCTCGAGCCACAGAGACCAACAGCGGTGAGATCCTGGTGTAGAAAAGGAGAAGAGTAGGTACTTCAGTTGTAGTAAGCATTAAAAAAAAAAAAAAAAATCCCGTATTCCCTATCAAATCAACCAAAATACTCACCAAAGACACTTTACTCCTCATTATGGGGTAGAGTTAGGAGGTTATTAAAAAATCTAAAATGAAAATAGTTCAGATACCTTAGCTAGATTAGTTATAAGGGATAAGATTTGGAGATGAAGATATTCAAAGCTTTATTACTGGTTGGGCAAAGTTGAAGAGTACATCTATAGTGGTGTCATTGACGAAGTCCTATTGATTAGAAGGTAAAATCTTAGGACTGCTATAAGACGGTGTTAAATTGGACTACATGATAGCCCATTTAGACAAATTGATGTTATACTGGACCATATGCTTTGCAATTAAGCCAAGCGATCTGATATTGGGCAGTTAAAAAACAAATTCTAAAGGATCAAACCTATGTCCCAAACCATCTACAAAATAAATTATAGCATAAATGGAAAGTCTGGATATGGAATTGCATTGAAACAAGGTGACACACAATAAAAAGGGGATTCTAAAATCAAATGATAATATTTGTGTAAAGACTGATTGAGATGGCTTTGGCACCAAGGCCATAACATGCACAACACTTACAAAAAGCAAGAGGGCTGGCATAAATGGTAAGCATTGAGGAAGGTTGCCTAAAAACCATGTGGCTCAAGTTAATCAAAAGCAGATGAACATTCATAGTTAACTTCTGATATAGCTCACAGTGGATTAGTGTGGAAAAAGAGAATCCATGTAACCACCTTAAAAGTTTAAATAAATTTGGGATCAATGAGTCAAATCCTACATTGCAGTTTTATTTGATTAATTAATTCTAATTCCCCATCTCCTCTATGGCTTCTGCTGAAAACAAAATTCTTCAAAGATATATAACCTTTAACAATTTTTAACTAACCTGACTTTTCTTTATTGTATGAGCATGCACACAGACACAGATGTTATATATGCAATCCATTTAACGGGAAAAGGAACTTTCCACATTTTGTGAATCTCGATGCTGAAGCATAGAAATCTTTTTAATTTTATCTTTAACCCAATTTTAGAAAAAAAAAAATGAAACATGCATGTACAGATAGCTTAGAAAATACTTAAAATCAAATTCCACACCCAGTTTCTCTCAATATTTTGTTTACTATCAAGCTAATTTTTCACTTCATCTATTTTCTCTTTGCCTTGTATTGGTGGAAACATGAAGTTTCTGTGGAATTGTTTAAGGCTTTATATATCCTTTTTCTTATATTTCCTTTAAGGGTTGGGAGAATTATAGAAGAAGAGAGAGAGAAGAAAGGAGAGGAGGCAGACCAGGGCCATTTGACATTAGGAAAGAAAAGGAAAAAGAATAAGACTCTCGTCTTATCAAAGTTTCATAATGAATCTAGTAAAAAATAAAGAAGATGGTTTTTATCAGTTTCTCCAAAAGCACATAACTATTCATGCCGACAAAGACGAGGTTTCGGGGCGAGCTGGAGGTCAGAGGAAAAAAACCTGAAAACCAAACACGTATTCTAAAAGGTCAAACATATCCAAATCCCGTTGATCAGAAATTTCAAAATCCTCTGGAAGCCGAGGAAACTGTTCATTGTATCTGATTGCTGATATTGCACCCTTGACCTGCAAAAATTATTGCAGAAATAAATTTGTATAAATATAGAATGCTGATATTCAATGCAGCCTAGTTCCATTGCTAGAATGAAATTGAAAATAAAAAAGTAAGTGGATAAACATTTCAAACTAAATGGTATACAAGCCTTTGTTGAGAACAACGATCACCCTTTACCAGAACGTGCTTCAACATTGCAGGAATACAGACATGAAAATCTGTTTACATATATGGTTTGAGCATTAGCTTACTTCTGGAAAATACCCAATCGCATTGGTATAAGATGGTGCTTCGAGAGGGACAATATTATATGGGATATCTCCTGATAAAGCTGCATCCGACTGTTTGATCCTTCTTAACTGAAATGAACCACAAAAGTCATCCCAAAGGAAATGGATTTTCAGTCAAACAGTTGGTATGCATCACAGCTATTCAGATCTGCTATCTGAGATACATGCAAGAACTTTGCAACAGATAAATAAATCAATTGACAAAGGTTAAATGCCAACAACACCGAAATGAGCTAGAAACAACTAAGTGTAATTCATTGTTCATTGCATGAGGTAAAGTCAGTCGAAAGTAGGGGAATTTACCTCATCCATAATAAGCCTGCCCACTCCATCAGGAGCTGCATCTTTACTGAGTGCCTCCATCACCTCAACCAGAGCCCTCAGGATTGCAAACACCCTTTGCACTTCCGAAAATCTGAATCCGCGATAAAACAGGTAGACATGGACAAAGACACACTGGTCAGGCCATTTTTATACAACAATATAGTAGGTAAAACCCAAACAAGGAATACAAGAGGCAGCAGTGCTGGACTGGATCTGATGGAGTGGGAAAATGGATGCATGCCACTTATATCAATTTATTGGGAATATGTTTTTAGCTAGTCCCTTTTTTTTAATATTTACTAATATACTATGAATAGACTTCTCACTACAATGACAATAGTATCAGAAATGGGTAAATGTACAAAATAGAGGAAATAGAAAGTAACACAAGAACATACTCTCCAATATTAGCACTAAGAGTTCCTGATTCAATAGACTTCTCACAACAATGACAACAGTATCAGAAATGGGTAAATGTACAAAATAGAGGAAATAGAAAGTAACACAAGAACATACTCTCCAATATTAGCACTAAAAGTTCCTGATTCACGCCATCTTTGCTCCTCTCTCTGGATTTCATCCACTCTGTGACGTGTTTTATACTGCTGATAAAATTCCCACAAGCGTTCAACATCTCGATTGCGATCTATTGGGGCTCCATCTTTTTTGGCAAGTTTTTGCTGCAACAAAAAAATCCACTCACATTTTAAGCTGCTTGCAGAAAATAGTCAAGTAGTCAAAACAAGACTAAATATATGTTCGGGAGAGATTATAAGTGAAAAATGATTTTTTGGAGAATGCATAGTTTAAAAGATGGGGAAAAGTTACAAGTACTTGCAAAATTATTTTATTAAGAGACTATTGGTTGAAAATAAGTTTAACAAAAAATTATTTTCATAAAAGCCATGTCAAACAAACCCTAAATATAATCAGTGGGCAGAAAACAGGGTTACTAACTTGGTTAACCAAATCAATAAATAAAAAAAAATAAAAATAAAAAAAAGATATAAATAGGCCTCAATGCAGCACGAATAACACAAACAACGCCTCTATGATTCATTCTGGTTAAGAACAAGTAAAGACAGAGTTATTATGCATATGCGTTGTTCGGTTTTAATTTATGTACACAAATTTGTGCGTGGATATGTATGTACATACATGTTACACCCCAAGGCTTTAGCAATTTATTTTAGCTAGAAATAAATCGATAAAGCAATGGCTAATTCTGTTACTGTACCTTAATTACAGACATTAACCCAGTCTTAAACTGGAGAACACCTCTACCATCGCTTTTGGGATCCAAATTTTGTGCCATGGTATAAGCCTGCTCACACACTGGGGCAAAAAAAATAGCTCAGAAACAAAATTGAGCCAGACATTGTTGAAGCAGTACAATCATCATAGCCTATGTTAGGCCTCCATTTCTCCCAAAACTCATTTTCTCAAAATTCAGCCCCTGTTTGAGCCCCATTTTCCAATAACTCATTTCTTCCCATATATATTTTCAACCACACATTCTACCAATAAAATATTTTATTTGCATGTAAACCCAAAATTTTCTTACTTATGATACATTCTCCAAAAAATCACTATCACAAAACTCATTTTAACAAAAAAATAGGGCTCAAACAAGGATTCATTTTCAACCACATATTCTCCCATAAAATAATTGTATACGTAAACCCAAAACTTTTTCTTACATTTTAATCACACATTCTCCAAAAATATATTTTTCCTCCAAAATGGGGCACAAACAGGGGCATAATCTTTATTCCAACTTAGGCTCCAGCATCTCCAGAGAATGTTAACAATACAAAGTACATATATATAGGTTGACGGCTAAAAAGAAATTAATAGGGTAGAACATAATACTTGTTACGTATAATTAAGTAATTCAATTTAACTATAATTTCAGTCCAAGCTCTTACATGAAACGAGTACAGAGAATATAACAGTTGCACATATGGAATCAATATAAATGAGAACTTTCAGCAGCTTCAGAAAACAATAACCTACAACAAACAACTAAAAATCAAGTTCCAAGCACGCAAGTAGAGATTTGAGGCAATGACCAACGAATGTTTAGAAGCTGAAAAAAATTTGAAGTATTAGGAGGTTCAACCATTCAAGGATATAATACGGAGTCATCCACTCTAACATGCAAAAAAACAATAGCAATAAGTTGTAGGAGAAAAAAAAGTTATATGGTGAAAATACCAAGAGAAAAGTTGGACATAAGAAGCACAGGTTATAGAAGACTATATTTATAGAAAGGATTATTAAATGGAAAGATATAAAATTCTGGAAGTTCTAAATGAGAATGTGCATAAAGGTAGAAGTAACTTTTTGGTTTCCTGAAAGTCCAGATTTTTATGGTTCAAGCTTTAATTTTTTTGTAAAGGAGACAATGGGAGATCTTTGTTATAGAGACATACAATTTGCCCCGGTTTCATTTTGCTAAAAATCAAATTTTCAATAGATTTGATAAAAGTTGATAAATGTAGCAAGTCCCATAAAATGTGTGATTAAAATTAATTTAACTTCGACTTAAATTTTTATCAACTTTTTTACTTAACCAATCAACTTTTTTAACTAAACCAAACAAGGGTGAAGTAACGAAGATAAGTTTGGTTCTTGTAACAAAAATGACCAGCAAGCAGCTGAGATAAGCCAAGGTGGAGAACAAGGACTCGTTAATCACAAATTTGAAAAGGTTGGTAAAAAAAAAAAAGAAAAAAGAAAAAAAAAGCACACTCCTCGATTTATATTGTGCATCCGTGAAGGCTTGCCGCTGAAAATCCTGCCACCCCAATCCACATAGATGCAAGAGTTATCATCCTATCCCACAAATTATGTGAGCACAACTTTGCTTGCGCAGGCTAATTCGCGAAATTTTGTTGATCTAATGATTTTTTCAAGAAAGTTGATGAATATTCAGATTTCAGCCTGTTGGGCAACAAGATTACATCTCAAGGGGAACGCCTTGAATTTGTGCCCTACCCAGGCCAATGTCAGATCATGTATTCCCTATAAATGCAGTTTGACAGGGTTGAAGAATGGTATTCTGCTTGAAATACAACTATGATGACTGCTGAATCAACGAGTGTCCACTAGGTGCTTACAAGTGTCCACTAGGTACTTCAATACTTACAAGTGTCCAATTAACAAGCACCTTTTACTTTATTTTCCCTTTTACTCTAGTTCTTTAAAAAGGACCAAAGGATTTCCCCCCTCCCTCCATTTACTTTGTTTTTGTATTTAATATCCAATATCATTACAAAATACTTCATTTTATGTAAATTTAATATTTTTTTGAACACTAAGTGATCAACTCGATTATCTAAAAGAATAATATCAAATTTATTGAATCTTTTATTTAGGTCCTGTTTGATCCACATTCTTTCAAAAAAAATACATCCTTAAACAATTATTTGACATCATTTCAACCACGTATTCTTCTATAAAATAATATTACACGCAAATCCAAAACTTTTCCTTATTTTTTAACCACATATTTCCCATCAATACACGATTCAAAAATGCATTATTATGAAAATAATGTGGCTCAAACAAGGGCTTAGCAGTTGCAATAATATAATATTCTCAATATCTATTGGACATGGATAGCATCCACATTGGGCATTAATGTTCCTAATTACAGCATTCAAATTTTAGAAAAATCGCTAGTAAGCCAATAAAATTCTGAATGGACAAAAATTCTAAAATTTTAAGTATCGTATTTAGAAACTTTATCACATAGCCCAATACCAAGCATGTCACGATTATAAAATCATAGAAACAAAACAATAATATTCCTTGTGCTGTCATTCAGCCGCTAGAGAAGGGGCTTTGATTATGTTTTATTTTCATCATTTAACACAAGCTATTTGTCCTTTTCATTTCATTTTCCCTTTTCTATTCTTTAAGAACATAAAGTAAGCCAAACCTTCGTCCTCTCTTTAATATTCTCCAGAACCTTATAATGCAATATTTTTTTCCCACTTTCATGTGAAAAATTCAAATAACCCACCACGTATCAGTAGAATTTACCATTGCGGAACAGAAAAATGTTTTTGCTCTCTCGACATTTGCACTTCTCTAAAGGCAAAATAATGTAGGGAAGGAGAATCAGAAGTGAGTTTTCACCTATGAATAAATTTTGCCTCCTATTTCTCTGTCGAGAAGATTAAATAGTATCTAACTAGCATGACCAAAAGAGGTCAAGGAAACTAAGTGTTGACCTCCAAAACCTCTGCCAAAAAAAAAGGTTCAAAGTGTACTGTATTCTTTCTGAAAAACAATTATAAACAACTAATTTTGTGGGTTCCATTCTTCTTAAGATAAAAAATTTCGGTGATGGAAGAAAAACAAACAAATAAATTGCTGTATTGGAAAAGAATGAAGAATGCGAAAATCTTCTGCCTTCGATGAGTTCCATGAAACCTTAACATATAAACAAAAGAAAATAATTATGACAGGCCAACTGATCACAGTCCAGTATAATTAGTGGTTCTTCTTTCTAAGTTTCACACTCATGCATTTACATTACATATAAAGCTAAGTCTATTAAATTCTGGTGGGTTTAAATTCTTTTGATGACAAAAGAGGCCTAACTATATCTAACCTTTATACTCTAAATTGGAATAGGATTATACAGATCATATTTTAAGTTTGAAAGGATTTTGTGGTGAACTAATATATTCAGTTAATTATTTACTTAATCTTAGAGTTTTAACTTTTAACTCATCTATTCAGCATAAACAGAAGAGTGAGTTACAATGCCGATGCGGCCACAATATCCAAAAACACGTAAAATAAATAAATTATTATATCCATATCGTCTTGACACACATAACCAAACAGTGTTCTCAGACATTAAAACATCAGTATATGTGCAACTCGTCGTACATACATATATGGCAATTATATTACACTGAATTTTCATACATATAAAACACACTCAAGAAAATGCTAACATAAACAGAACATTTGAGTTATGATGCTGATGCAGTCACACAACCAAAAGATAAAGTTTCATCCTTATCATCTTGACAACCTAAGCAAACAGTACTCTTGTATGTTAAAACATTTCCTCAATAATAGAGCCCTTGTTTGGCCCCAATTTTCTAAAACTCCTTTTTCCTAAAATTCATTTTTATGGGACGCGGAATTTTTATCAACTTTTCAACCACTCATTTCAACAACTTCTACCAAAATCTACTAAAAATATGATTAGCTAAACCAAACATGAGCTGAGTACCTGTATACACGCAACTCAACGTACATACATGGCGGTTATATGACAATGAATTTTCATATATACAAACCCACACAGTTAGCAAATTATCAATTGTGCTTATACTTACATATTCTGGCAATATTTGGGTCCTCGGATTGAATCTCATCAGCAGCCTGTAGAATTGCATTGATATTAGTGGTCCGCTGGAGTGAATCCGGGACAGACCCCGCAATGCCACTGGGACTCCGTTCATGGCCCGGCCCGCTAGCCCGTAGCTGCTCCTGACGCAGCGTAGCCCGTACAAGTCTCTCCCAATTACTATAAACCCTAGCCATCTGGCTATTCACTACCTATATAGAGCTCAAAAAATCTTAGCAGAGAAATTAAAGAAATGAGATCTAGGGATTGGATCGAGGAGAACTGAATTTGAATGTTTTCATTTGTGATTCGTTCTTTATCAATTTCAAACGCGTTGTCGAAATTTCGTAAGATAACGCGCTCAAGACATTTGTATTGCGCCAATTTCAATGGAACTTTTCCTTTTACGCTTTGTTTGATCCCGAAATCCATTTGCTTCTTTTTATCACCGTATTTTTCATTAAAATAATATTATAATTTCATTTTGTACTTATTTTTTTAAAAATACATTTTTCCCTCTCTTCTTTTTAATTACATATTCTTTATTAAAATAATATTATACGTAAATAAAAAAAATTTCTTATTTTTCAACCACACATTTCCCATCAATTTATTATTCTAAAATGTATTTTTACGTAAAAATGGCTCTCAAACACCTCATATATGTAAAATAATAAATTTTTCTTATTTTTAAACCACACATTTCCTATCAATTTACTATTTTAAAATTCATTTTTTTATAAAAATGAGGTTCAAACACCCTCTTATTTTCTTTTTTTCTTTTTTTGTTAATGGTGTACTTGATTGTCAATATTTTTGTATGGAAAATATGTTTTTTAATCCAAATCAATACTTTTATGCTATTTGATTGCTATTTTTTCATTAAAATTTATTTTTACTTTTAATCACGTGATCATATTTTCCTTAAAATCAAGGAAAGTATTTTTTTTAAGATGAGTAGGATTTTATTTTTCATGAATTCACTCTCTCTTTCTCTTTCTCACTTATCCACCAATAAAAAATGACAAGTATAATATTTTCTAGATTAAAAACTAAACCAATCAAACACGTTTAATTGACAATTTATATATAAATAAATTCTAGATAATTAAATTATCAATAATTTATTTTCTTTTCATGCAAATTCCCTGCTTGCAATCAAACACTCCTTACTTTTCTGAAAGTTGATGGCTTTTGGCCAGGTGACTTTCAGTCGAGATGACTAATGAGTTTGGTTGGACCGGGAACAAGGCCCAAGCAAAGGGTATTGCCGCCTCTGAATTGAGCTTACCCCTAAAAATTGAAAAATTAAACATATTTTCAAATGTTGAAAAATATTTTCAATAAAAAAGAATAGTAATCAAACATATTTTGAATTTAGGTGGAAAACTGATAGTTTCCATGGAAAATAAATACAGCCTAACACACCCTAAATGCTTTTTCCAAATCATATGAACATCACGTTTATGATTGTAAACAACCCGAAAATAATCGAACTTGGAAGCTGACATCTGGATATTTCAGCCTCTACAACTGTCGAAGAGAATTTCATCGATGATCTTTGTTGGTAAGCAATACTGTGATTTTAACTTCGAAATTTTGTGCAATTTTCACTCGAATTGAGTAAACCCGATAAATCATCTAATTGAAGTGTAATTAAACTGATTTAATACAATAAATGTATAATAAGTCCTGTTGCGATATTCTGGTTCATTTGTAATCAAAATTCATAAGCTCTCGACATTCTTGTGTCCTTGAACTCGTTGGATTCGGTGAAATGTGTATAACATTCCTGTTATATATAGGATGGAATTCGATATCACTCCACACGTATTGCGAGGGATGTTCCATGAAATTGTGTGTTTCAATACCCGCAATATGTTTTTACTTGTGTTCAAATGTTGTAAAAATAAAATTTTGTCATCCGTTTATATGATGTGCGATTCTACAATTGGAAATAAATGAGCAATATATGACACTATTATGTTTTAACATGCAACTAGGGGATATTTCTGCAATCCAAGAATAACACACATGGAAATGGATTCCTTGAATGTTTTTGTGAAGAATGGAACAAATACAGATGCATTGCATGTCAAAGTTATCGAAATGTTGAATGATGTTCCAACGGAAGGTGAACAGATTACATCGGATACAAGTGTATTGTATTCGTCTCGTGACGTTAATGCACCTATTGCTATTACTGAAATGCCAACCAAAAAAAAAAAAAAAAAGAAGCAGATTTGAGGAATTTATTTCCAGCATTCAGATATCACCTCTTGGGTTTTATAATGACTATGCTAATGAGCCGGATGTGGTTGTCACACAGCCTGACTCGAGGATGGATTGCAGAAAAGTAAGTATTTATGGAATAGAATGTTTTGAAGACTAGTGTGGAATTGTACGCTATTCGAAATAACTTCCAGTTTAAGGTTAAATAGTCGGACGTTAAAGTGTATATCCTGATGTGTGACGTGAGTAACTGCAAGTGGAAAGTTAGAGCCTCCAAGATAGGTCAAACTGATATGTTGAAGGTACATTACATATGTCATGATCACACCTACTCATTGGAATAGGGAACACAGGCAGGCTAATAGTACGTTGGTAGGGGATTTAATAAAGCACAACTCTTCACGTACTATTTACACCCCAGTTGACATAATGCATGATTTATATTAGATAAACAAGTTGACATTGAAGTGTGGGAAGGCTTGGAGAGCACGAGAACGTGCACTTGAAGTTGTTTATAGTAGTATTATAGAGAACCTGATACAACAATATGATTACTACAAAAGAAGCTAACTCTAGCTAAGGATAAAACAATTATCTCTTAAGAGGTTCTAAGAGATCACGTACTCCAGTGATTGAAGCTTCAACTGTAGGCCATGCGAAACCTCATTTGCTTAGAGACATGTTTTCAACGCATTAAAAATCTTTACTAGATCCAAACTCTCTCCTTCTCCACTTAATTTACGTGCCACTTATTATCCACCTGATCCACACAAATCACCATGTTGGAGAAAGACTTGCATGGGTGGATTTCCAATTGAGGTTGAATATTGCTAAGTTCATTACGTTCACTATATTATCGAGCATGCGTAGATATTATTGTGATCGTTTGGAGAGAGAATGAAAAGCATCCATTATTATTAACTATTTCATTAGATTCCCATAGTTTCAAGTATTTCTAAGATACTTTTCTTCTATCGTTGTATTCTCTCATAATTTTTGAATGTATGTTTCTATGATAAATTAATGCATAAACCACTTGCCTCTAATTTAAAGATAGATTATATGCACAAATTTGAGGACTTAGAACAACTAGTGTATCAAAGGCCTTAGAAGCCATTAAGGATATGAAAAATGAGATACAAGATATCACAATACAATCAACAATTGTCTTATTTTCTTCATTCTTGTTACCCTTAAAGATGTAACACAATTAAGGGCCCTTTGGTAGGAAGCACCTCTTGTAGAAGATCTTCTTAAGAAAGTTACTTCATGCCAATTTCTTCTTGTCAAATAAAGTACTTCTAAAGAATTATCCAAATACGTTCAATAGCATCCTTTTAGCCTCGGAAGCAGCTTTTACCTTTTAAAATGTATAGTTAAACGGACCCTAAATCATTCACAAATGGCAATAGACCATGTTCATTTGATTGTCCAGGCACAATTTATACAAAAATCCATGTAGTCTCCCTTGGCAACTGAAGTTAATTATCCAAACAGTCATTGAACTTTGCCAAAAGCTTTCAGGAGTGCACTGAACTTCAAAACTTCCCTAAATAGTGAACTTTGCTAAAAGTTTCCAAGAGGCCACCAAATTTCACAACTTCTCTAAGTAGTCACTAAATTTTGCAAAAAACTTCTAGGGGTTCACTCAACTCTGCAAATTAGATCCCCATTCATCACTTATTTAGTGACTCGTTAGGATTTTTTTGCAAAGTTCAATTACTATTTAGGAAAGGTTCAAAGTTCATAGACCTTCTGGGAAATTTTGGCAAAGTTCAATGACTATTTAAGGAAATTTTGAAATTCGGTGACCTCCTGGGAACTTTTGGCAAAGTTCAGTGACTATTTGTAAAATTAACTCTCAGCAGCTGTCAAGCTCAATATGCAATTCAATGCATTCCAACTGCCTTGTCGAAACCACATAGTCAATAAAAGTGTACAGCATATGAAGAAGAGGATAACAAAATGTAGAATATCATTAAGCCAGGCAATCAATGGTGCGGGTGCTTGTAATTTTTTAGACATAAGGACTCAGCATTTATTCGTCTAAAGTTACAAAGTATAACTGTTACATAAGCAGCCAATGAAAAGCTAAAAGCTTTTTTGTCATTTTTACGAGATTCAATTTCTTATGCTGCTCTACTTAAAAGAGTAAAATGGACAAAAATAACACTACCATAGATGAATCATAACACTTATTTATATGTAAACATGCAATCTCCAATGGTCATTGAATTTAAGATAGCAATCCCAAGTGAATACCATATCTTTCGCATCAAAAAATAGCGCAGTGATTACCTGGGCACCCTTTCCTTGTAGGTCGATCCGAAGGGTGAGTTATGTCCAATGTTGTTGTAACAAGTGGTATCAAAGCAAGCATCTTTTGGGAGATGATCCTCATTGTGAACAAATCAACCTAGGAAGGATTACTACTAGTAGAAGATTGAGTGTTGTAGATGGTAATTTTGAAAAGAGGAGTATAATTTAATGGCTCTAGTAAGTTTCCTCCAGTTCAAGTTGAGGATTGAGTGTGGTAGACTCAAGGGCTTAGCCCCCTTTGTTTTGCCCCCCCCCCCCCCCGAGTATCATAGCGTTCTTCCTAATGTGTAACAGTTTTCCCTATTTGATCCTGAATTGTGAGTATGCACTAATTAAGATTCAATTACGAAAGTGCAAAGGAAGTTTTGTCATGTAACAAGACGCACTATTCAAGAAAACACCAACATGAGCAAACTTCATAGTCAATAACAGTGTACAGCATCTGAAGAAGAAGATAAGACGTGACTCAATATTTATTCGTCTGAGTTAAGAAAGGAAGTGATGGATATAAGCACAAAATTAAGGAACTGTTAACAGTACAGAAGCAATCAATGAAATGCAAAAACTTGTCTGTTGTGCGTACAGAAAGATATACTGCAATGCAACCCTTTTATTCGGAAAATCTTGGGATATAACATGCAATGGATCACATGACAATAAATAAGGATGTAAGAAATGTGTTTTTAAAACTAGAACAGAGATGTACAAAGACGTATATCTCTCTGATATCAATATTCATTAGCCTGCTGCCAAACAATATTAAAACGATCAAAAGTCTTATCAAATGTATTTGTTCTTACTTTTCGGTTTTCTCATTGCCATTTACTCTAGCGGGTGGGAGTTTGACTATGCCGCACATTATCTGCCTCAACGCACCCAAGTCATGGGAATTGGTAGATGCATTGAAGGCCTGAATACACTGATGTTAAAATGTTCGATAATCATTGCAACTTTTTAATTATCAAAGCACCATTGGGAATCAGTTAACATTGGACATCATCTTGGAACTAGGAGGAGTAAAGGATATATCTACGTTCTACAAAACTTTGCCATGAAACAGTCTAGTACAGTTCTTAATACAAGACCTAAGCTCATGTTATTTGATTCACATCCTAAAATACAAGACCTCAAATAACTTGATTAATATTAATAAATTGACTACACATACAAGCTTCCAATAAAATTCTTTGAAGGCGCATTATAATTTGTGTGTGATATTCTCGTCGCAATCTCAACACATTATAATTACAACCAACAAAATGATAAATGCTTAAAGATGCCAAGAATGAAAATTATTATATTGACTTTGAATTGTTTGACAATGAGAATTTACATTTCTTTGCACAAATATAATGCAGAAGCAGGGTATCTGACACCGAGAAGCAAAAGGAGAAATAAGGTTAAGAAGAGAAGGTCTGACCAGACTCTAATTGACAATCATTGGTTGGCATTCAGTTTCACTATACATCATCCTCTCTAAGATCAGATCAAGTACTCATAATAAACTAAGAAAAGAGAGTCAGGAACATCTTTTGGCAAGCTGTTTATATAGAGATAGAACCTCAAAATGTCTTCTTCTGAGAGGGTTTCTTGATCAACTACATCTCTCCCGCATGTTAGAACCCATAAGTCCCCAGAATTCACTCTCTTTAGACTACCCCTGCAGAATGGACAGGATTCCGACCTCATATTCCTGCAATAAAGGAAAAGGGTAAAGTAAACACCCAAGGGAAATCTTCAATTTTACACATCAAGAGAGAATATGAAAGACCAAATTAGGAAAGAACTTTCGTGCACACCAGTCGCGGTAGCAATTGATGCACATTGCATGACAACAACTTGGCAACACAATCTTCGTGCCGGGCTCTAAGCAAATTCCACATTCATCTTCTCTTTCCATATCAACATCGAAATGCTTATTATCGTTTTCTAATTTCTTCCTCACTATCATATCAAAGTCATGACCTTCATCTTGATAAATATATAGATCCAATGAGCTATCACATAGGCGTTCGAGAGTTGGTAATATCACAGCTGCAAAAGTAATCACGAAAGAAAGTTCACTTGATTGTTTCTAAACCAATATACACTAATTTCACACGTACTAGTTTGTGTAATTCCATACATAACTGAGAGCATGTTTGCCTAAGCTTAACATCGCTTAAAAGCATTAAAATAAATAATTTTTTTCATTACTTAAAGTTGTAGATAAGTAAGTTACCTATTTTCACGGTTAGTTAAGAGTTACTTTCAAGAAAATTAAATTTTTTACATAGAAGTATAAAAGTATAAGTTGTCCAAAAATCTATGGATATGAGAGGATACGAAGAGTAACTTCATTTTTTTCTTTTTTCTTTTTTTTGTTTTAACTTTTTTTCCCTAATCAAAGTTTAGCCAAACAAGCAATTAATCATAGCTGCATTTTTTTTGGCTCTACCTGTCTGCAGTAACCTATGCAAACAATTGCATAATTATTCATTTCAAAGCTTAGATCAATAAATTAGTAATACCCTGTGGAGCGGATATTGCCATATAGCTTATTCAAAGATGAAGTGAAAACAATTTGCATACCGTAGAATTGTCTAATGGTTGCTTTCCTTCCATGTGAAGGAAACTTTTGTCTACCGTCAACGTGCACCTGGAGTATTGAAAATGTTAAACTTGAGCAGTGCTCTACACTTTAAAAACAGGAAATACAACAATTAATCAGCCTAGCATAGAAAGAAAGATTGGCAATATAGTGATCTACCTTGTATACAATTACGTGGAAGAGATTTAGATAAGTTGGAAATGAGCAAGTGCATGAACAATCAAACCATTGCAGTAGAAACAAAAATATGGGTGCGAGGTGATTGTAGACCAATTTCATTTGAAAACAAGCACCTCCCTTGGCTCTAGAAATCGAAGCAGCCCTGAAATGTCATCCATTGACATACAGTTATTTTAAACGCACTGAGTTTTTTGTTTGGTACAAAATTGAAGTACTAATTACATGTTTTTAAATCCATAAAACAAGTCACATAAATTAATCGAACCTTATAGCCCCCACACTCGACAAATACCAGTATTTTAACAGAATGCCATGCCAATAAAAATTCAAAATCATTGAACTGCCATCATAATCAATTGAAATTTGATTCACATTCAATGATATTCATATCATTTATCAAAAATACAATATCACATATATACTTAAGTTTGAGGAGGACAAGACTAATTGTTTGATAGTATCTTTATTTGAGGAGAAAAATTGGAGAATATAACTGAACGAATCAACCAAAAGAAAAGGGAATCTCTAGTTTGTCTGTATGAATACACACGAAAAAATTGTCTTATGAACAACCTAAAAATGTGTGTCAGCATAAAGACAAATACCATTAGATGCTCCGCTAAAATCAAAGCAATAAAAGGACAGTTAATTCAAGGATGTCATAGAAGAATCTGATCTTTTTGACACTACAGAAACGTATCTACCTTAACATTATCCAATTGCAAATAAAACACAAGGAAATAGTCACCCCAAAATTAATCTGAGTTTATAGATATCTTCAAGTATTTTACTTCAGAGCAACAAAATAGCGTCAATGAAGCTGAATTTTTTGAGTTTATAGATATCTTCAAGTATTTTACTTCAGAGCAACAAAATAGCGTCAATGAAGCTGAATTTTTTATTTTTTATTTTTCACCACCACTTAGGATTATAATCAGCCCATGAACCAAGCATTAACTTAGCAACACGAGACGTAATTAAGGTTATTGTAGATTTCCAAAAAGTACGCCCACCCGTAAAACCCAAAATTCTATGCTTGCTCATACCAAGTAAAGAACACTAAATTCAACATTAACAGGAATTGCAATTAACGAACAACCATCACGAAACATAGAGCACAAAATGCATATTATACTAATGGAATACACCCACAACCACACAAAAAGCAATTTTTTTCAAGCTACTATTCACCCAGGCAATGGTAAAGCAAATATATTCCATAATTAACGAGACCCACAAAAAAACTGCACCGTTTGCTTTAATCATTCCATTAGTTTATTCCATTACTAAGGAATTTCAAAGTTCAACAACCCAGTTTTCCAAAAAGTAAATGTGCAAAGGGAAAGACTTAAAAAAAAAAAAAAAAGGAGAGAATGAAAGAGAACCCACAACATATTGGCATGCTGAATATCAGACTCGATAACCATGAGAGAATCTTGACAAGAAGGAGCCTTTTCAAGCTGATTGTATTCCATTATCATAATATTTCAAAACACGATTTTTCTTACTGGGCTTTTGTCTCTCTCTTTATCAGAAAAATAGAAAGCAGGATTCAAAATCAAATTTTCTTGTTTACAATCAAAGCTCAATTTTCAAAAAGTTCTGCATAAAGAATACAATATATGTAGGAGTGTGCCATAGGTAGAGCCGGAAGTCGTTGGGGGTATGGGGGGGCCCGGGACGTGGCGGTCCTTGCAAGAGCAATAGAGAGTAAACTCCAGTAGGTGTCTCAATCTTTTGTTAGTGTGATACTCATATCCTCAACTTATTATTTTTTACATTTATTATATTCTTAATCCGTTTAGAACAATTGCTCTCGTTTTCACGTTTAAGGGAAAACGTTTATTTAAATGCTAAGTGATCGTCACGTGACACCTATGTGATGTCGAAATGAAAAGGTGAAACCATTAAAAAAAAAATTATTCTAAAACAATTAAAATGGTAACTTCAATTTTCATTTAAAAATTGAAAGAGGGTAAAATTTTCTTAGGTATTCTTTACATATCCTCTCAATTCAATCCATAAAAATATCAGGTGACAATTTAACTTTTAAATAAATATTTTCTGTTAGTTGCTGATATGGGTGCACAATTTTAAAAGATTGGGGACGGGTTCAACAAATGCTAGGTTAGGAATATAAGTGCCACACTTACAAAAGATGAGGGACCCTAGTGAAATTTACCCAATAATTTTTGTATTTTTTACTATTTTTATGCATAGAGAGCAATTGCGTAGGTCTTGGAATTTATTGTTTTGGATTAATGAGTATTTAATTTTCTTTTTCATATTCAAATATCTGGTTAAAGTAAATAAATTTTCTTTCTCCTTTTAAATATTTTTACATGAAATTTCTACCATTCGTTGAGGCAATATCTAACCTTATTATTGCTTTCATTTCAAGTTTATGGAACCTATTGATTTACGTAATTTATAGAAGTTGTCTAAAAATTATAATACTCTTTACGTGAATCGACTATTTGATTTATACAATAAGCAATTAATTTGTATTAATATGGTTCTAACAAAAATAAACGAGAACTAAACTAGGATAGTTAATAGAACCAAACGCAATACTCTTTTGAATAGAGTTTCAAGCCAATTATTTCAATCCCAATTTGAGTATCATTTTCCCACCCTCCAACTCTAGCAAGAAGATGTAAAAGTAAATTTTAATATTTATAGAAAAGGTCTTTATTTGAGTACGTTACTTGAACGTGTCTTCTTGTACAAATTAAACATTACGAATTTTATCGCATTGATACAATTTTTAAGCGACCTATATAAATATTTGAATCAATATTTATTAGTGTTGCAATTATGAAACAACCAATCACCAAACACCTAACAAGCACAACTGCATTCAAAATTGACCAATTGAATTAAATGTGAGTCAAAATTAGATGGTCAAAAGTCATTTTTTTCAAACTTGTGGAAATTCAACGAAACTTGTCAGAGAGCCTTTGAATGGGTATAAACTGGTCACCAGCCCAAGCAACCTTAAATAAACCTAACAATACTCTTGATGAAGTCAACAAATGCATGGAAATTTGAGAAATTTAAAAAATATATATATAAAAATATAAAATTTAAGTAACATTTTATCATTCTAGATACGATTAGATTTCAATCAATCCTTTGAATATCGGACTGACGTTGCCTTTGTTTGGATATTCACCACTTATTACTGATTCATAATTTCAACAACTAAAAGGACATTTCACAATTTGACTTTAATCGTTATGGATTAGTGAAACGAAGACGGTCAATTCGACTTAAAAAATCATAAATTGATCGAAAAATTTATTATATCTTCACGTAAAGCATATTATAAGAAACTAGAATGAGACTCGGTGGATTGAACTGATCATTGAGTTTGTTGGATTCCCAAATTAAGACATAAAAACTCAACAAATTGGTATGACTTTATGTGAATAACAACTATTATTGAAAAAAATATATATATACACACAACAATTGAGCGCCCAGCTTACCAGAATTTTGTCCATGACAATTGGATTCACACCAATTGGTTCATCCTAGAAGTAATTATGTACACTTTCCTAAATGGTGACATCTTGATCTTACCCGAAATTTGCTTGTGTGTGTTTTTCATAGGGTTAACCCTGAGAAATTTGAGGCCCTAGGCGACTAATAAAGCAAAATATGATAAACTAATAATTTTTTAAGATAGTCGATAAAATAAATTCATCAATTAAACAATGACGGATATTCTCTAGACAATTCCATCTTCACCAGATAATACAAAGCCCGACGATGATGGTAAACCAAGGGTTTATTAGGATGTTATCATGCTTCAACCTTTTCATTCCTTCTGGCATGTATAAAATCTATTTCCCTGCAGTTCCATTAGTAAATAATATTGCTTCATTCCATTTGTACTATATATTCTCTTACTTATTTTGCATTTTCCTTGTCATCCCAGGCTAAAATTCAGCCATTAACATTTAACAAAATACATGTAAGCAAAGCTATTGAACCATTTACTTAATTTTAACAGACAAATAGGATTCACAAAATCCAATGTAAAATTCAATATCCCAATATTATGCATTAGATCTATTATAGAATTCAAGTGATCAATAAACCTATAAAAATGACTTCCATTCCTTCTCAAATTAGAGAAATCCACATTTTATTGCACATTAGAGTCATTCTCTATTTTCCTTGTCATCCCAGGCTAAAATTCAGCCATTAACATTTAACAAAATACATGTAAGCAAAGCTATTGAACCATTTACTTAATACAGACAAATAGGATTCACAAAATCCAATGTAAAATTCAATATCCCAATATTATGCATTAGATCTATTATAGAATTCAAGTGATCAATAAACCTATAAAAACGACTTCCATTCCTTCTCAAATTAGAGAAATCCACATTTTATTGCACATTAGAGTCATTCTCTAGTGAACGAACAATGAAAAAAAATACAATCTTGAAAATAATACATGAGACGAGAGAGAAATTAAGAAACACGAAATCATTACTTGTAGTTTCTTCTACAAATCTAATTCTGTAAACTCTACAATCTAGAAAATTTTCTATCGTTTTTTAATCTTCTCACCGTCTATCTTCTAACCTATGTAAAAAAGGGATTATTTTGAATAAGTGGATGGATTTGGACAGTATTGGTGGCCGGTTTTGGCTGCTTCTTTATTTTATTTTATTTTATGTTTTCCCTTCTTTTTAGAGGCCCTAGTAAGTCTGAGGCCCAAGGCGGCTGCCTAGTTTGCCTTGGGCCAAAATGGGGCCTGGTTTTTCATAAAGTTATTTAAGTAGAAATCTGTAGGATATAAATTGTGAAATTTTAACATGTTCGTGGACAAATTATGTGTTTACAGTGTAAATTTCATAATTCTTCACGATCATTTGATTGATTAAAAAAATTTATGAAAAGCTATTGAGTAGATTAGAATGCTAAAAAGTACGTTAAGTTTGTAAAAAATTGAGACTTCATCTTAAAATGTCAACCTTCTTAAGAGGAATAGATCAATCCTCTAGAAGTTGATCAATATTTTTCATTTTTAGTCGATATGTGATTTTATTCTTTAACATACTCTTGCAAGATAGTAGCTTATTTGAAACAGATCAATTTAGAATTTATGTACTCATGTTTTAGTCTTAATCAGATCAAATTACTCATTAGAGTTTGATGGACTCTAATACCAATATCATAGAACTTGGTAGAGTCATACCTCAAAATCTTGCCATTGAAGTTAAAAAAAATCCGAGCCTCTATAAACTACACAAACAAAGTGCAACTTCCAATGTGAAATTCAAACCTCCGTAAGTTCTACCGAAGTCATGACAAATCATCACGCTTCTGACCTTGACACTCAGGCAGGGCAGTGTTCGTACACTAATTAGGGTCTCAAGACGTGATGCCTGTTCTAATACCAATGTCAAGACTTAAGAATCCATCTTAATAAGTTAACCTTATCAAGAGAAGTAACTCAATCCTTTATAAGTTGATTCACGTTTTCATCTTTATTCGATGTAAAATTTTATCCCTTTAACAAAGTTCAAATCTATTTTTCACATCGTGTTTTTATTTTCCACTTACACGATTTGTTCCTTACCTAAAAAGTATGGTCTAAGTAATTTGATATTTAGGAAATGAATATGAATGATAATGTTCTGGATTGTACATCTCGAGATGTTACAAAGACAATCAATGCTTACATGAAAAGTGTGGAGGTTGTAGACAACTTGTTTTTCTTTTGTACCGCACATCAGAACAAAGTTGTGGAAAAATAGATATCTGTCGAAAGAGACTCCCTAAATTTAAGAAAAAGATTATTTTGTCACCTAGATGCAAAATCACGCTCTTAGTGACTTGTTCATAAAGAAATTTTTAAGTAAATTATAAATCAAACGGAATAAGGATTAAAATGGTAGGACTACGAAGCATTCAACTGATGTGACCCGATGCGATGCCTATCGATATGTGGTTTATCAGATGATAATTAGTGCTTACTTGAAAAGTATTAAATTCTTAGCAAATGAGTGAAGGAGAGGAGAGTCTCTGACTAAAAAGACACTCTAAATTAGTTCCCATTTGGCCCCAATTAAATTAAATTTCATTTTCCCTCTCCCATTTTTAATCACACAATCTTCCATAAAATGATATAACGCCTAAATAGAAAACTTTTTTTTTTAACCATTCATTTTTCAAAAAAATTATTATTCCTCCCATTTTAATTTTAAAAAATGGAGGCCGAACGGGAACTTAAGAAAAGAGTTTAAACAATCTTTTTACTTATCTTCAATCTGCAATCGTCTTCTTCGAAACACGGCAAAAAAAATAAATAAATTAAGATTTCTAATTGTACAAGGGTAAATGTGCATTCGAGTATAAAGCAAATAATCGAGCCATTCATTAAATAAAATATTGTCCGTGCTTACTAGAAAAACACAAAATTCAAAGGTACGTGGCATGCTCTTATAACACACAATGAATGGAATTTCAAAGGGAAAAACCTGACTGATAAGGCACAATAAATTACGAAGAAAATTTATATAATACTTTCATTTTTCTTCAAGTTGCAAAATCGTCATCTTCGAAATGTGCATGTAAAAAT